GGAGTTTACAGTCTATCATTTCTTCGTTCGTTTTTGTTAACGGCAACTTAGAGAAAGAAGAAATTTTTGGCTGCCGGCTTGTTGCACTTGCCGAATCTCGTATGGTATTAACATCTGTCTCCACAACGACGTCTCCAACATTATCACCACCATTTTTACTACTCTATAAACATTTATGAAAACCCGTTAAAATAGTTTTTGAAACAAAACGTATGCAACTAACCTGTGGAAGTACTGAAGGGACAGCTACTGTTGGATGCTTGCTTTGTAAATGTCTTTTTAGATTCGATAAACTTGTCTTACAAGACAACTTAGCTGCACATACATTACATTTCGCGTAACATCCGTCAATTGCTGTAAATAGTTTCCAAAGTTCACTCCTTTTTCGTTTCTCCATGGCTTTTATTCAATTAGTTAAAGCGAATTTGCAACCAGCAAAAAAGTGTTTTGTGTTTTCAACGGAAAACGTTGGTCCGTAGTGTTGCCGTTAGTGAAATTCCGATTAAAGTAAAAATCCAAACAAGTGAAGTATTTTAGAGGGATTTGGGAGAAAAATTTAATAGCTTTCGAATTTATCGGCCTTTAAGCTAATAAATAGATTTTTACAGATTTGTAAAAAGTAAAGTGATTTTATTACAATAAAGCGAAACAATCCAAACCTAATATGTACATAAAATACATGAGACAAAACTTCGCGAAGATAGTACTTGTATCAAGCATGCTTTTGCCCTTTTATGAAGATCTTAATTTAAAACTTTACGGCAGTACTGTTTACCAGTTACAGCGATTGATGCAATTGTGAATGGTTCAACAGTAATAGTGATGCCACACGTGGTAGAATGAAAAAATAGGAAAACGGTGATTTAACATTTTTAATCACTGTGATAAACGGTGACTTGAAAATCGCTGTGAAAAAGTCGCCGATAGTGATTTTTTGCCCATCACTACAAAGAAGGTCTTTCCTCTGCTACCAGCATCGTGATCCGCATTGTATACCTTCGGAGCTGCAGAGTTTATGTATATTCCAAGGACATGGTCAGGCCGGCGGAGCCGCTGTTCTTTATTCCTATGCACCATGTCGATGTCGTTGTAAAGCTCATACAGCTCATCGTTCCATCGTCTGCGGACCTCGCCGTCGCCAACGCGTAAAGACCCTCCTTCTCTCGAACACCCCAAGAGCCGCTTTATCAGGAGGATTTTAGGGCGCTTTAAACTTGAAAAAAGGCAAGTACCCGCGAATGTATCAAATTCAGACATCGCGGCATAAAAGCAACGCCCCCGACCTAAGGGGAGTGGCTTTGTGATCGACAAAGTGACGGTGTGTGTCGATTCTATTCTCGCGGGGTTTTTCCAATATTTGGCGTATGGTGAGTACCTGGTCTATGATGGGTTTGCCAAGTCTAAAACCACACTGATAAGGTCAAATCAGTTCGTTCTCGGTGGGCTTCAGCCTTTCATACAAGAGGGGCTCGGTACGACCATGTAACCGGTAGTTGCCGCGTATGGCGGGGTCGACTTTCTTGTGGTTTGGGCACAGCACATTTTAATTTCTGTTGTAAGGCATGCGCTCATCTGGCCATATTCTGCATAAGAGTTCATGCATGCACTTTATCAGCCGTACTGGAATAGCTCGGCTGGCAGGCCGTCAGCTCCAGCAGCTCCATGGTGACATTGGTCACTAGGTCGCCATGGATGTTCTTAAACGAGTTCGCTTTGGCATTCGAACCTTCCGTAAGTCACTTAACTCTTTTATAAAATTTGTGCGTATTTTGGTTCTTACCCAGCATTTCGAGCTCCTTTTTTCGGCAAATAAGCGAGATGTGGAAGAATCTCACTTTGATGCGGACTGTGGCAGCTGTAGTAGACGTTACAAGGCCTTGCCTTGCTCCGTCTTCTATGGCAGTGATGTCAGCCTTTGTCTTTCCGAGGACATCAACCAGCTGGGCAGAGGCACCTTTCCCATTAAGGGTCCAGACATTCCTTGTGCATACTGGCCACTCCCTTGTGAATGGCAGTCAAAAGCTTTCCCCATTTATTTGGACTTCTGTGCACGGAACCATCCTATCCCATTCTAGAAAATTAGCCCTCTTTCTTAGGATTCCCAAACGGTCATGAAGAGTATCGTACTGTAAACTGAAAAGGAGCACGTGTCTAATACTCTACACTCTACAGCGTTGTAAATAATCCGACAAGTATCTCGTAGTTTAGTGTAGTATAAAACTATAATATTTTAAAATCGAATTTTTTCTTTAAATTTTCTTAATATTTAAGACTTTGTAGTTCATTTTTTCACAGCTACGATTGAATTTGTTTAATGACTAATGGTCAGTCAATAATCGTTGTTACCAAATCAACGCAGCCTGCGGTCAGCTAACAGCCTCACTGACAAGCAAGTGCTTTATTTCAGTTGAAAACCCTTTTAGTAAAATCAATATTTGTTTGAAGCACCATTTCGTTGTTGCTTATACATTAAGTGGAAAATTTATTTCTAAAAAACTAACATGCGTATGCGCACCTTTGGTTTCCTCATATAAATAGTATTTTTCTACGACTCATACAGATTTCCTGGTAAATCATTACAAAATTAGAGTTTATGATGTTTGATGATTCAGGTTTTGCGGGAAGATGATTTGTATTTTATTGATGTTATTAGTTCTAAAATATACAATGTTCTTTTTCGCAGTCTAAACATTTGAGTTTCATGTGCGAAACTACACATGATGAATGTACAGTGACTCAAGCAAGTGTTCACAAGTTGATTTGTTTTTTAATATTCACATTTTTTTTCAAGGAAAATTATTTTTTTTATAATAATATGGTACATGCTAAACTTTATACAAAATGTATAAAAAATAAATTTTCATTTCGAACTTTTTAATCTGAATCTGTTTCAAAAAATCAACGTAGGTTTTTATAAATTGCACTTCTTGTATGACAAAAAACGCAAAATACCGGCGCAAAACAATATTAAAAATGAACGCGAATTTTTAGCTGCTTGAAATTTGCAGTTTGTTATACAAAAACTATATTAGTTAAGTACTAGCAGTGGACCCGACATTGTTTGGGGAGCGCATATAAAAATCTGCAAGACGTAATATTTATTAATATTGTAGAAAGTGCTGAAGAAATTAAGCATGAGATAGCCACATAAATTATCGTATTTTTCGTATCGTATTTACAAACCGTTTCTCTTAATATGTAAATATAGATAAAACTGCATACCCAAAAGTTTCAAAAAAATTTATATAAGGATAGTTCAAAATTTTGATGTAAATTTGTTTAAATTTTCTAAAGTTTGTATAAATTTTGTAACTTTTATTTAGAGATATGGTTTTTGTCAAAGCATAAACAATAGTTTTATAGAAAAATATAATAAAATATCACTTGCAAAATATCTGAATAAATATTAAAAAAAAACAAATCAGCATGGGAACACTTGTTTAAATCACTGTACGTACTTACATATCTATGTATACATATATTCTTATGTACTATATATACTACTTGTACATAAGCATATTAAAGAACAAATCCGCCAAAATTAAGATACCAACAAAGTAGCGCATATGCTTTCTTTTGATATAGTTTCAAATATTGCAGAATAAACATTTATGAACAAAAAAAAAACAATATTTGTTGAGTTTGATATTCAGCGCATTTACTCATATTTACTTTATGGGCAGCAAACATAAAACAGAATATGAAAAGCAAAGTTGAAGACACGTAGAAATGGTTCATTCTGCGTGCAGATTTTTTAATTTATTTGCTGTTGTCAAGAACACATGTTGAGCGAAAATAAGAAAGCCGAAAAAAGGATTCTTAGAATTCATTAAAAAATCTGGCGCTTAATTA